CGGTAAGAAAGTCCGGGAGCCAGTCACTGGCTGGTGGTGGTCCTGTAGTCTGTGATGTGCTGCAGGCCTTGCCCCATCCTCCCAGAGTCAGCAGTAGAATCGAAGCCATTCAGCTTCTCTCTGTACTGACTCTTGGCCGCTTTGATGGCTTTCCTCAGTCTGTACTTTGCAGCTTTGTTCTCCGTCTCATCGCCTGATCTGAATGCATGACAGCGAGCACACAGCATGTGGCGTACCTATCCAGAGCTTCTGGTTGGGAAACCTCCTGACTTGTATGGTGGGCACAATGTTGTCAGTACAGGTACTAATGTATCCAGTCACATACTCAGCATAGTCCTGTACACTGACAGAAAAGTCCTCTGTGTGTTGAGTAATGTGTAACTGGAAGTGTGTGTTTTGAGTTGTACTTCCGTTCAGGTTGCCCCTCTTGTTGCTACATAAGTGTTGATTTAATTTTCAAAATATGAAGTAAATTGGTCATTATTTTTGATCATAGTTCATCCAGTGATTTAAATGTTTTGGTTACAGGATATATAGAGAGGAACTTTAAAAAAATAAAAAGTAAAAGAAACTTACAAATAAAGATCAGTTACCACCATCATGTCTGTAGAGCAAATATGTAGTGAAATATACAGTTGCTGTTTTTCCAATATTCAATGAAAATTTAAGCCAATTTGCATCTTTTTCTATTGCTTCAGAAGCTCAACAGTCTCCCATGAGTGTATATGAAGGCTCCCAGGAACTTATGCTGTTTCCATATTTGTTTCTGTTTAGAATCAAAATCAGCTTTATTGGCCAGGCGTGTCGGACACGAGGAATTTGACTCTGGTACATCGGCTCTCAATGTGTATGTACATATCCCCATGCAGGGGGCAAGTAAACAGTAAATCTGCGTAAGGCTGTGTACGATAACAAACAGTATTAACAGCAACAAACAGTGCAAACAATGCAAAATAAGCAGTATAAACAGGCAGTAAACAATGCAGACAAAAAGGAATGCTCATATCGCTAATTAAACTTTGCTGTTTGAATTAATGACTAGCCAGGTTCCTCTTTGAATTTAGCTAGTTAGGTTTTGAGGGTCAGTGGTTACATATCAGACTAAACGTCATGTTTAATCCGATATTGGAAGAAATCCAAGCCCCTGAAATGCAAGACAGTGTTTAAATTTTCCTTTGTGCCATTTTGTTCCTGCTCCGCTCCAACAAATGTGGACACTCAGTCATTTTCCTTTTCTGCACTTTTGCATGGACAAAAACATAACACCAACCCAGTAGCTGCCACATGGGGGGGGGAATGTTGAACCCAAATAAGCTCTGGAGGCTGCGTGTGAACTCCAGAGACCTGTCCTTACAGGACAAGCTTATTCTCTTGCTTTGTACTGGAAAGGACACAGTGCTGACATCAGACAGAGCTGAGTGTCTTCTGAACCTTGAAATGTAGAGAAAAAATTACAGCATCAGCAGGGGGTGCACCTGAGAGTAAAGCACAGCAGTGAGATCGGTTTTAGAAGAGAAGCTGGTCGAACATGATTAAAGATGTTGGGAAATGCCACCACCTAGTGGACAAAACTAGGGATTACACATTTGTTGGTTTTCTGAACAGTCGAGTACATAAAACGTTTGTAGTAGCAGATTACTATGTGTGAGAGTAAACAGACAAGGACACACTGAT